ACCGGGTACTGGTTGGGAAACCTGAAGGGAAGAGACCGCTGGGGAGACCTAGACGTAGATGGGAGGATAATCTCAGGCGGGATCTATGGGAGATAGGAGTTGAAGGAAACTGGATTTTGTTGGCCCAGGACAGGGTCCAGTGGAGGGCTTTGGTTAATTCGGTGATGAACCTTCGGGTTCGGTAAGCCATCTAGTTAGTTAGTTAGTTACATATATATATACACACACACATACACACATATTATAGTGTTTTGTCACAAAGTTAAAACTGTGCACTTTATTTGTACTACATATGTTTCATAGTTTCTGTGTAGAAATTGATCCTGAAAAATTCAGATTGTGATGTCTGAAAAAGAATGTCTAACTGTTGTTTGTCTGTAAAGCACACACAGTTTCATTAGTATTATCATTCACATTAGAATGCACTATTTGTGGTGCTCTGGCAGGACTAGAAGTGTGAAGGAAGGTTAGGTATGTCTTTTATTTTGTCATTCTAATTTAAAAGTTCCACGTTCAAATCTGGCCAAAGACAAACAATTTATTGCAAAAATGTTTAACTTACAATTGTTCTTTCTTCATAAAGCATACTAGTGAGTCAATGAGATCCGTGGTTGAAGCTCAAAGATTCTGGATACCTTACTAAACAACCTAGACCTTAAAACACCTCTATAAGGGACAACAAAGAAATTTATATTTTTTGTCATTAGTTATTTTTTTGAAAACAAAAGCATTTCTAATTATGTGTTTTTGTAAGGAAGATAGACAGAACGTTTAAATTTGAAAGAAGATGACCAATAAGTCACAGAAAAATAAAAAAGTACGATATTTATACATCAGGATTTGAATTTGCAAAACATGATTTATTCATCAACACCAGTTTTCTACCATGCCAACTGGTCTACAAGGGAACACGGGCAACCAACCAAAGAAACTCTTTTACACCTCTTTGGTTATGCAGGATTCAGGAAAATTATTAAGATTAATTCACATTCTTCTTCAAATTATGTTGATATACTGAGTCTTTGTTTAACAGATTTTTTGTATTAATCAATGTAGTTAATGGAAGTTACAGAAAAGCCATATATGGAGAAATACGAGATTATGAATGACTGGAATTATGCTTACATCACTTCCAGTACGGGATTTAGAAAATTTCAAGTGGTTGGTTCTTATAATACAGAGCTTCCTGAGAAGCTAGCTGCACACTCAACTAATTAAGGAATTCTCCACATTTTTTAGGAACCAAAAGGTTCATTAACATGTTCACAAGAGCCTGCCACTGCTCCTAATCCTGAGCCAGATGAATCCTATCAACACCTTCCAGCCATCATTCCCTGAGATATATTTTAATATTATCCTTTCACCAAAACCTCAGTAATGTGAGTGTTCCCTGCCCTCCTGGTTTTCCAACTAAAATTTTATATGGAGTTCTCATCTCATATGCTACATGCCCTGCCCATCTCATTTATTTCAAGATATTACCTCACAAAGAACACAGGTGACTTTGAGATTATCACTGCTGTAAAAATTGTTCATGGAGATAAAGGTGATTTGTTCGTCTGAAACAATGGTGTTCACCTATAGACTATAGTTCACGACTGTAATCTTGAGACTTGCGGGGTGAGGAAGTGGGGTGAAGGAGGAAAGACAGCGCCACTCTTTAACGCTTCGGACGTCCTGCATTCCTTGCAAGTCTCAAGATTACAGTCACAAACAGTACACAGCATTACAACCCAGAAGATCACAAACCACACCATTACCCGAATGTCAGATGAATCTAGTATTACTGTACTGTCCTCCATTTTGAATTGATTCAAATACCACACATCATGTCATAGTGTTCAAAGACTAGATATGATAAATTCCTGAAATTGAAATGTTACTTGCTCTCAAAGAATTAGTCAGATCGTAGTAACCCTACAACGAATTCAATTTTAAAGGGTACTGACGATGGTGTTACAGTCAGGATCACTATTGGGTCCAGTGACTGAGGTTAGCTCTTTCTATAGGGTCCAACTCAGTAGGTCCCCACCCCCCCCCTCTTTAACCTGAAGATGGAAGCAGACCCAGCTTTCAAAAGCACAGACGATGGACATAGTCCAAGAATTCATTTATCCCACTATTATGAGTTGTTTCAGACCTTCTGACATGTCAGAATTAGAGAAGCAGTCATCCCCTTTAACATTTTGTACCAACATACTTCCCAGTACTGTGCATCAAAGGTTTGCCTGCTCAGATTTAAAACCTATCTGAAGCCTATGGAATTTCCACAGCAAACTCTCTTCTGTATATTCTATGACATGCATATAAGACACTTTTTAGCTATCTAACTGTATTTAATAAAATCACTCTTGATCATCTGTACTGAGATTGATGAGGAAAAGAAAGTCAGTCTGGGTTGTTGCACTGTGTAGCCTGGTAGAAGTTTACTGGCTTTACAGAGGCGCTTGCTACCTCCACCTCTGAAACACTGGTAAACTTCTACCAGGCTATATGGCACAACCCAGAAGACAAACTGTCGAAGAAACTGAAATCTACTTACTATCTATTATTTAACTCTTATTAGCTCTGTGACTGCGGAGTATTTCTTACCTCACAATTTCTGAATATTGCGAGAGATATGCAAGTATGTACAATTGACTGTCAGATGGCATCGTATTCGCATGTTCTGATCACCGGCAGGGAGAGGGGAGAAGAGGAAAATAAGTGTTAACTTACAGAATGGAATAAACCAGGTGAAGCAATGATCTGCTAGCCTGCTCTATCCAGGGAATAGCAGTGAAACGATTTTCTCATATCAGATTGTCTGTGTGGCTTCAATACACAACATGGCAAAACAAAACACATTCATATCCAAAAAAAACAAAACAAAACAAATATAGATGAAGTGTGTCTACATTTATTCACCAAATGTTGCAGCTGAGAGCTTAGCGTTCCTACTTTGCATTCAGAAGTCCTGCGAGATTTCTGGTACAGAGGCTAGTTATTTATCTGAAGTTTTTCATGTTCCTCCAGGCAAATTCTGGGACAGGACGTTCAAACAGGTCAAGTTCACTTTCTTTCCACTTCATCATATTGAATCACCCATCCTTCCATCTAATGCTAAATGAACTAAGAACAAACATCATTGTCATTTATTCATTTATATGGAATCAGGCATTTTAATAACAGAATCATTCTTAACTACATGTAATAAATATAAGGACTGTATTTTACTCCTAAAACCAAGCCAAGTCAATGTAAACACAGTTAAAATTGCTGTCAGACATGGGAACATAGCACAGTGCTGAGGCATCAGTTTATAATTAATTTTTATGAAGGAATAATTGTCAGTATCCTATAGGACCTTACAAGCTACCACTTTGACTATCAAGGGCCTTCTACTTACACTTTTAACAGAATTGCCTCAACTAAAAAGATCTGGGGTTCTCACGGTAGTGAGTATGAAGATGGCTGTCTTCTGGGTTGTAGTGCCATGTCGTCTGATAGAAGTTTACAGATGTTTAAGTGGTCCTTGCTCCACCCTCAACTATTTGGCAATGTGATGAACTATGTCAAAGTGTGATGGAGTTCCTGATCATTTTACCTATAACATAAAGGAGTTTAAAATAATTATTATATT